AAAAAACAAAAAACCCAGCCACTGGAATGCTGACGCGTGGATGCCTTTTGGTCCCGGTTGGTGCCACCAACCGGGACCAAAGGCCCCCCTGCCTGGGTTCGGCGCACCGGCCACGTGGAGGTCCATCTGTCCCGGTTCGTGTTAGAACCGGGACTAAAGGGGACCCTTACGAACAGGGACTAATGGGTGTTTTTCTACTAGTGATGGCAGGAAGACACAACGAAGCATGGCAAAGAAAATGCATTTAGTTCCCATGAAAAAAACACATCTATGAACAAATACTAATTTTAGTTACCATGGCAAGTTTGTCATGTTTGTGAACATATTAGGTTTGCCATGTTTTTGAACATTTTTAGTTGGCATGACAAGTTTACCATGTTGTTGAACATTTTTAGTTGCGATGTTTTTAATCGTCTTTAGTTGCCATGGCAAGTTTCCCATGTTTCTGAACATCTTAGTTCAAGAAGTTTGCCGTGCACTACCGGAATAAACCCCTACGCCGACGGCCCAGGCCGTCGGCATAGCCCTGATTCCCGTCGGGACAGGCCTATGCCGACGGCCCCCGTCGGCATAGGGCCGTAGGGGACATATCTGTCGGCGTAGCCCGGGGGCCGTTGGCATAGGGGCGCACACGGAGGTGCAATCCCATGGATCGATGGCGTGGCACCGCATGCGGATCGATGACGTGGCACGCTAGGTCTATGCCGACGGCCTCACCGTGGGCATATCTCCGACGCACAGTGGGCCACCTCCCTCGGATCGATGACGTGTCGAAGACGCAAATCGGTGATGTCAGCAAATCTATGCCGACGGGCTAGTTATGCCGACGGCCGCCGTTACCTCCCGTTGGCGTAGTTTCAATGCCGTCAAACGGCCGCCGTTACCTCCCGGGCTATGCCGACGGCCTGGCATATGCCGACGGGCCCCGTAGGCGTACCTCCAACGGTCCCGACAACCTCATCTATGCCGACGGCCCCATCAGCATAGATAGACGTATGCCGACGGTGTTTCTACGCCTGCGGCCTGGCCTGGGCCATCGGGATAGGCCTATCACCATCGGCATAGATGAGGCGGCGTAAGCAGATATTCTGTTAGTGGTGTTTGCCATCTTTTTGTATGAACTTGATTTAAAAAGTTTGTCATGTTTTTGCACATCTTAAGTTTGCCTGTGGCAAGTTTGCAAATGGTTTTGAGCATCTTAAATTGCCATGGCGGTTTTCTATGTTTTTAAACATCTAAAACTTTGCCATGTTTTTGTACATCACAAGTTGTTGTGCCAAGTTTGCCATGTTTGAACATCTAAAACTTTGCCATGGTAGGTTTCCATATTTTTGAACATGTTATTAAAGAAGTTTGCCATGGCAAGTTTGCCATGTTTTTGAACTGCTTTAACTTTGTCATGCTTATTAACATCTTAAGTTGTGATGGCAAGTATGCCATGTTTTGAACATCTTAATTAAAGGAATTTGCCGTGGCAAATTTTGATAGATGAAAAATGTTGAGACATGGAAACTTTTTAGACAATGACAAAAAAAAGTAAATATGTTTATTCCCTGAAAAAGAACGGCAAATTTTCCATGAAAAAAAACTACACAACATGATTTTCATTGAAATTGTCATGTGATCATTCCACCAATTTTTTTTAAATTCCACGTGTTATACATCAGAATTCCGTAAATTTGCCATGTAACTATTGCCAAACTTTCTAAATTCCCCCCTAAAGAATTTGCCATCATCTTACTTGGGGATTTACCACGGAAAAAAGTTAATTGCCATGGCAACAATATGTGAACAAATTGACATGGGAAAAGGTAGTAATGCTATGAGCTAACTTGAGTATTTGCCATGGGTTGCTTCCCCCTATTGCAAAAAAAAAAGTTTCCATGGCAAAAACTTGCATCACAACCGAGTATGTGATATAAGACAATGCCAATTGAACAAAAACCGCATTGAACAAATGGTGCCATGGCAATTTTAGTACAAAAATGCTATGACGATCATGGCAAAAAGTGAATTTACCATGGCCCATGGCCACCTGCATTGAATTTGCCCGATGGGGGAGACGTTCGCGGCGATGGGTCCTTTCCCCGAACAAAAAAAAAATCCAACCGGGCTTGCTTAAGATGCGCACTTGTAATCAATGGCCGAAGAGGCGTTCGGGACAAGGAGCAGAAACACAACACGTTCGGCACTTTTTGATTTCGTAAAACAAAACAGATAGAGTAGGGCTAAGCATTGATACTCCTCGTGCTTTAAAAATAAATCAAGGCGATTGCATGCTGCTTGTTCCTCCTGGATGGATAGTTGGATGGATACAATGGATGTGTACTCCCTCTGTTCCAAAATAAATTTGAACTAAAACCACGACACTTATTTCCGGTCGGAGGGAATATATTAGAGAAAAAAAAAACCTATCGCTGGTACCAAGCCACATCCACGCCGTGTTACCGCACCTGATAGTGGGCGTAGTTCATGAGAAGTTGTGAAAGTGTCCAGGGGCGGGCTTGAACCTCGAGCTGATCAACTTCATCGTCAAAGAGTTTCTCGTCTCTGCCGTCCTCGAGGCGGTGCATGCAAATCCCTCGCTCCTGCGGCCGTTGGCCACCACCAATGTAGTAGATGCAATTGCCTTCAACGCCAGGGAACTTGTCGGCTTCGACAGAAATGCATCGATCGCCGAGGAAGATCGCCTAGTTTCTGATGCCTTTGAGGGTCCAAAGTTCTTTACCCTCGACGTCAACCCAGCACACCTCTAGTATTTCGCCGCGACCCTCGATCATAGGGGGACGAACTAGCAGAAGCTCCCCGGCGCAGACGACGAGGAACGTGGGTCTGCTCTGTACCCAGTTCGCCACGACCACGGTTGTGAGCCTGGGATCCCGGCCAGAGTGGTCGTCCGCGACCGCGATCGCTCCCCTCTGGTCGGCCGCGTATGGTCGGCCCTGGTATACCACCATGGAGGCGAAGGACTCGAAGGCGGGATCGGCCGAAAAGAGCGTCACCCACTCAAAACCGCAGGTCGGGTCTAGGCATGCGGCGCTTTGGCGGCCCCAGAGGTAGAGCAGCAGCGGCGACGAGCCGGCCACCGTCACGCCTCTGTCGAAGCTGCACATGCCTATCAAGGGGTAGAGAACGCGATGGCCGGTGAAGGGGTTGAAGAGGCATATATTGGAGCCTGACCTGGACGACACCAGCGGCACGACGAGGAGGCCGTCCGTCGTGGGAATGTAGTTGTAAAGCTTGGGAAGGTCCTTCCACAGGAAGCGGCCGGTGTCGACGTTCAGGAAGAGGTGGTGGCCAGATGATCCGCGGTTCCCGCCTAGGAAGATCCATCCGCGGGGCCGGAAACGCCGATCACTCCCGCGCAGGTCGTCGGTGGCGGCGCGCCAGTTGCGGCACACCGCACGGATGCTTATGTAGTAGTCGATGTCGCTGGTGGCGAGGAAGACGTCGGCGATGCGGGTGACGAGGTCGGAGGGGAGCGCCGACCAGTCCGCCGCAAGCCTGGGCTTGGCCATGGTGGGCGCGCGCGTGCGCTGGTGGTGGTTAGACCGGGGCTGCTGCCTTGAGCGGTGGTCAATCTCGCGCCCGCTGCTACGCCGGTGTATATATGCAACTCAGGTGAGACGGCGGCGGCCGTGGGGAATCTGAAACCTTGTTACCGGTTTTGTCTCCAACCGATTTGGCAAGTAGAGCTGTTAACGCTCCAAATCAGCTCGGATACGCTAAGTCAATTGGTATCCAAACTCCCGTATCAAATTAGGATTAGGCCTACATCCAAACAAAAAGAAAAAAAAGGCCCCGTGCGGCAATTTTTTTCGGAATCAATAACTGCCAAACATTCGGATTTTATGCACCTGGAGCCGAAGGTGCTCGTAGCCCCCGCACGAATCTTGATGGTCTCCTATTGCCACGTCATCCCAGGCGCTCGTTCGGGTTGGAGGCGATTTCACACGATCGATTTTTTTCTCGCCCCAGGTACCTTATCCTTTTCCCCCGAGCACTACCTCACCTACTCGGTCTCACATTATCATTCCGGCGATTACAACGGCGAGTCCTTCTGCCGATTCGAGGGGCAGCGGGTGGCGCACGAGTGCAGCGGCGAGGATGCAGGACGGCTGCGTCCATGCGATAGGGCGACGCCCACCGGGCACCACGCTGCGGCCCTGCGGGAGGAGGCGGCGACGAGGATGCGGCCCGCGGGAGGGAGGCGGTGGCCGGCAGAAGCTATTCCGACGACTTGGGAGCTCCTCCTGCACGGCCAGGACGGCGCCCGGCACCACGCGCGAGCAAGCCGCGTCCGGGAGTGCGAGCAGCGTGGCGCTCATGGTCGCGCCCGCCACCCACATCCTGGCGCCGCGGCGTTGTCAGCGGGGGCCCGTTCGCGGCATTGCTTTGCCGGGTCGCGCGAGTGCGGCGATGATGATGGAGAGGGCTGCATTGGGCGGCCACGGAGCTGGTAGATATGGAGGCGGCCGTGGCACTTGAGGGGAAGCGGAGCGGCTAGTGATGGGGCCGAGGGCTGGGTGCTCCCGTCGTCGCACACGGTCGCTGAGAAGAGCTGATGGCTATGGAGGACGTCGAGTGGCAGTGGCAGTCGCTCCCGCTTCTGCTCCGAGTGTATCAACGGCGTCGTCAGCCATCGACCCCTCCATTTGGGGCTTGCTGGAGGTACGAGATGCATTTCGTCCATCTCATCGCTAAAATATTTGTTGAAGCTGCAAGTCTGATTAATCAACCCATTCCACCAATGTTGTTTCAGTATTTGAAATGCTTTTGTTTTAATTGTGTTTTTGCACTGACATTCAGTACAAGTAGTAGAACAGAGTGCCAACTGCCAAGCATATTAGACATACATAATTGCTGCTAATCCACCTGGTCCCATGTTGCTTTCATGTTGATTCAATCAAATCTAATTGATCGTCTGAGACAATTTCTGTTTTAGTTCAGTAATGTCATGTTCATTTTACTGTGGGAGTGATCCATCGGAGTCCATGTATGCATTTTTGGTTGATTGGTTTAGTACATATGGCCATGCAATTGAAGAAGAAACAAAGTCTACAATCATTGTCGAGCATACTATGGGCAAACATTTTTTATTTCCATGGCAATTTAAACTTTTTATTTGACATGGCGAATTTACTTCTATTGCCAAGATGAAGGCAATTTTTTCGGCAAATAACAATGGGAAATTTAGTTCAGGAATCATGCCAAATTTCTTAATTTAACCATCGCAACTCTATTTCCTTTCGACCATGGTAAATTTAGTAATTGACCATGGTAAATTCTTTTCAAACATCATGGCAAGTTTCAATTTCTCATTAATTAACCACGGCAACTTTTTTTTTCATTTGATCTTGTTAAGTTTAGATATTGATCATGGCAATTTTAGTTTGCAGATCATGGCATTTTTTAGTTTCATGTATTTTGCTTGGCAACATTTTCTTCAGCCAGGACGATGGCAATTTTTAGTAAATGACAATGGAAAATCAAGTTTATGATGCATGGTAAATTTTATTATTTAAACATGGCAAAAGAATATTTAGTAAATCATGATGGAAATTTTTCTGAGTGTTAAGTACATCCACAGCTTCTGTCATGCCCTTGTTTGGCAAGTTTTACTCCATTTTTTGCCATGGCAAAAATACCTTTATTCACACGGCAAATTCTATTTTAAGTTTCCATAGAATTTTTTAGTTTAAGTTGCCATGGCGAATTTATCGTAAAGAGCATGGAAATTTTGTTTTAGATATGATGGCAAATTTACATTTCCAGAACATGGCAAATTTTAACTATGTAGCACGGTAAATATACTTGCATAGCCATGTCATTTTTTAATTTATTTTCCCTGACAAAAGTACACCTTTTTTGCCATGACAAAAAATTAATGCATTTTTTGCCATGGCAATTTTTCACTCCATTTTTGCCACGGCAAATTTAACTCCATTTTTTGCCATGGCCAAAATACTTTAATTTTCACATGGCAAATTTTAGTTTAAGTTGCCATTGGAAAATTTATTTTAAGTTGCAATGGCAAATTTATTGTAAGGAGCATGGCATATTAATTTAAATATTATGGCAAATTTAAATTTATAGAACATGACAAATTTTACTATGTAGCATCTTAAATATACTTGTGTAGCCATGGTATTTTTTTTTTATTTTCATGGCAAAAGTACTACATTTTTACCACGGCAAAAATTGAACCATTTTTGCCATGGCAAATTTAACTCCATTTTATGCGATGGCAAAATTCTGTAGTTAACATGTTCAAAAAATGCAAACTTGCTATGGCAAAGTTCTAGATGTTCAGAACATGGCAATCTTTGCCATGGCAACTTAAAATGTTCAAAAATATGGCAAATTTGCCATTTCATTTTAAAATGTTTAAAAACATGACAAACTTGCCATGGAAAATTTTAATATGTGCAAAAACATGGTAACTTCTTTTAATTAAGTTTGTCCAAAAACATGGCAAACTTCTTTTAATTAACATGTTCACAGATATGCAAACTTGCCATGGCAACTAAAGATGTTCAGAAAAATGGCAACGTTGTAGATGTTAAAACATTCGCAAACTTGCCATGGCAAACTTAAGATGTGCAAAAACATGGCAAAATTCTTTTTAAATTAAGTTTGTACAAAAACATGGCAAACACGCAAACTTTCTTTAACTAAGATGTTCAAAAAACATGGCAAACTTGCTATGGCCACTAAAGATATTCAAAAACATGGAAACCTAAGATGTTCAAAAACATGGCAAACTTGCCATGGCAACTAAAATCAGTGTTGTTGATAGAAGTTTTTTTTCCATGGCAACTAAATGCATTTTTTGCCATGGTTAGTTGTGTCTTTTTACCATGTCCATCTGAAGAATGTTTGCCATGGCCATTAAAAATTAGATTCAGAACACGGCAAGTTTGTTCTTTCAAATTTCTTTTTGCCATGGCAAAAAGTTTTGATCCTTTAAAATTTGTTTTGCCATGGGGATTACATGTATGATATCATTACAACTTAAGATGTTTTCTTCATTCTTTTCCTGAAAATTTTCTATGTGTCTGCAGAGAACTTGTTTCACCATATCACTTCATGGCAACTTTTTGTTTCTTTATAAACTTCATAGTTATGGCAACTTTTTGTACTGTTGAGATGCAGATTGCCATGACTTCTTCCTTTTTTGAGCCATTTGTTAAAACTTAAACTTGAACATGGTAAATTTTTTCATAGAATGGCAAAAGTCCATGGGAATTTTGTTGTGCACAGAAAAATTGAGCCTTTTACTAGTCATAAATTAATATGGGCTTTATTTTTTGTTTTGCTTTTCACGGGAAAAGGCTTGAAGAGCCCAGTGGGTTGGGGCGTTCGTGATGTGGGTTCTCCTCCCGAACTAGTTGTTCGATCCATGCCCCCTCCCGTCTCGAACAAAACGTTCGGTGTCGGGTGCTCCCAGACCGAACAGTCGGGAGTTATCGACGTCCTTTTTTTAAGGGCCGTGCATTTCATTGCCTTGTACGCTATCAAGTTCTTCTTTTTAGAACCAGAATTTGTACATCAAATCTGAATCAAACCCTGAATTCAAAATCCTTGAAACTGGCACCCTATACTATCTAATCCCGGCCAATCCCGATTGATTTTTGCTAAATGCTCATTTGACGCGCCGGAAAAAGAACAATCCCGATCACCACTCTCGTTGAATACACGGGCCCAACGTGTCATATTCATCTTCCCCTATCCACACTCTTAACCCAATCCCTCTCCTCTCAGATCCACCCCGCCGCCACATCCTTCCCCACCTCAAAGTCGCATCCATCCCTTCGAGGTCCCGAGAGAGACCCTTCGTCGCCACTATCGTTGGCAGGAATAGATCGGAGACGGTCACCGGTGGGGACGATCACCGTGACGCCTGCTCGTCGCCCTCCAAATCCTCTACCATACCCGGGGCACGAGAATGGATGACGCTAGATCGGATCCGCCCCGCCGTGCCCCTTCGCCGTCGCCGCCGGCATGCCGCCCTTCCTGCAGTCCTGGAGCTTTCGGTTATATGCAACAACGTGTCAGCGCTTTGTCGGGAGCAGCACAACCTGATGCATGTGACACGGCTGCACGCGGTACCTACTCCCTCCGTTCCTAAATAGTTGTCTTTCTAGAGATTTCAACAAGTCACTACATACGGAGCAAAATGAGTGAATCTACGCTCTAAAATATGTCTATATACATCCGTATGTGGTAGTCCATTTGAAATCTCTAAAAAGACAGTGCTCACACGTGTGGCCGATGCGCTCGTGCAGTTCGTGCACGAGCACCTCGCCGCCAGAGTCGCCCGTGCTCACGCTGCCCCCAGCTCCACTCTGTACAACGATTGCCCCTGCATGGCCGAGGTGATGAAACCATGGCGCCCACCACGCGGATTACACACCTATACTGTACGAAATCTATACGTGTTGGGCTAGTTCCGATTCCTAATTCATTCGTCTTTTCTTTTTTCTTCCGTCATGTGCTGCTATATTACGATGATGGATCTGGACGGAAAAAGGATAGAGGAGAAAAGAAAGGAGAGAGGTGTGGGGAAGAAGATGGATTTGACATACTGGGTTATCTAGTCAGTGAGACAAGCGTGTGATCCTCACCGGGATCATCCTTTTCCGGGTCCGACGAACAAGTATTTACTAGAAATCAACCGGGATAGGCCAGGATTAGAGAGTATAGGGTGTCAATTTCAAGGATGTTGAGTTCAGGGTTTGATACAGACTTGATCCATGAATTTAAGGTTTATTTCAGACTTTTCTCACTAGAATATCTAGCGAACTACGTAAAAACGTGAGGCTGCTTCCGGACGCCCGCCTGAGGCCGTAAATCCTCGACCCTACCGGCGATCCCATATGCTCGCCGCCGCTGCTGCCCTATTTAGGGCAGCTATTGGAGCAGTTTTGCCGTATTTCATGCCCAAAAAGGCATTTTCGCCATTTTATAGGGCCGCTATTGGTATTGACACTTGCTCGGACATTTGTTCGTGCAAAAAAAAATGTGGCCTAAATTTTTTTACTTCACCATATTTACATGCCCAAAAATAGGGCTGCTATTGGAGATGCTCTTACAAAAGGGAAGCAAATGCCCAGATGTACATCTAAACTTCAATGTAAAATTTGCTAATGTCCAAAAAATTAATTGCCATAGCGGTCAAAATTAAATTTGCCAAGACATCTAAACTTCAATGTACATAGAAAAGTTGCATATTCAATTAAAAAGCATGCTGGAATTTTGCCATGATCTTATAATAAATAGGTCATGATCTATATTTTGTTTATCATAACATGTAAATCACACACATGATAAACAAATTAGCCATGGTAGAAACAATGAAATTGCCATGTAATGAAAAAAATGCCGTGCTTAAGATAAAAATATATTTCAAAGATTTTAATAAATCGCCTTGAAAATGAAATTAGCAATGAATAAAGAACAC